AACCCTAACCCTAACCCTAACCCTAACCCTAACCCTAACCCTAACCCTAACCCTAACCCTAACCCTAACCCTAACCCTAACCCTAACCCTAACCCTAACCCTAACCCTAACCCTAACCCTAACCCTAACCCTAACCCCTAACCTTGACCCTAACCCTAACCCTAACCTTAACCCTAACCCTACCCTAACCCTAACTCTAACCCTAACCCTAACCCTATCCCTCAAACAACCGTAGCCCAGGCCCAATTGGCGAGATGTCGGTGGCGTACGGAGCACCAAGGTGGTGAAGGGCAAACCGAAGCCAGTGGAGGGGTGCTGAATGGGTGGCTCGGCGCAATGTTGTTCGGAAAAAAACTGGTCGGAATTGAAGAGGAGGGCCATCACGCAGAGGCCGTCTAGAAGTATTGTGAAAGATGAGGTCGATGGCGTCAGGCGGTGCTGCTGAACGGAGTGCTACTCCGGCCTTTTCCCGGCGCGAAAGAAATTCTCGACGTGTACCAGAGGTTCGCAGGCGAGGTTCTCTGGGTTGGGCAGACACGGGTGGGGGTCGGGTCGCGTTTTGGCGCAGTCGAGGGGGCACAGGAGGGGCGTCCAGGGGAGGAGTCGCCAGTAGGGCTTCTGGGAGAGGAGAGGTTGCGGAGTCGGCAGTTTCCAGAGCTGGAACCGGCGAAGTAGCGACAGTTGCAAGAGTGGGCTCATCAGTCATAGAGGATATGTCGGAAGTGATAGTTCTGGATGTCGAGACACCGCGATCCATGCTGGTAGGTCGTGCTGATGTGGAGAGAGCGAGCAGTCGTTTGATGAGATCGTCCTGGTCAGCGATGATTGATTGCATCTCGCGGAGGAGCGGGTTAATGGTCGTCTTAACGTCAACAAGAAGCTCGTCGGGGCTTTTGGGAACAGAATAACGGTAGCTGGGTACCATGCGAAGGAACGGATCGAAAATTCCCGGCTTCGGAACGAGGAAGCCTTTCTGAAGGGAGTTCGGGTGGGATTGCAGGGCGGACGCTAACCTGTCTGCACCAGAAAATGTCGGCGGAATCGGTATGGCGGTTTGCGAGGGAAGAGGCGGCGACGGGGGCGGCGGCGGGGCCACCGCCACAGTCACATGTGGCTGAGTCGCCGGATTCGACGGAGAGAGAACTTTCCGTTTGCTGCGCTTGCCGCCCACAGGCGTAAACGCGGGAGCCAGGTTGGTAGATGTCGGATCACTCGATGGAGGTTGCGGATCGTTGGATGGGATTTGCAGATCGTTCGATGGGATGCGCGGATCGGAAGGTGGGATCTGCGGATCGGCTGAGGGGTTGTGCGGAGCGGTCGATGGGGTTTGCAGATCGTTCGATGGGATTCGCAGGTCGTTTGTAGGAGGGGGCAGATCGATTGGGGATGTCGACTGGAGGGCGGAAAACGAAGAGGGAGCAAAGAAGTCGGAGATACGTCGAGCCGACGACGAGGATGTCGGCGTCGGGGCCGGTGGAGCCGACCTCGACGGTGTCTTTCCTCGACCGCTCATTTTGCGAAGTGAAAAATCCCCCCCTAACCCTAACTTTTCAACGGGATTTATTCGCTCCAACCCGCCCCCGAAGGAAAGGGTGAGGAATCTGCAACTTTGAAAGTTAAAAAGTGCGTACATATGAAATAGGAGAAAAATGTCAAAGGTAGGAAAGAGCGGCTAAGTAGAGAATCAACAGGGACGTGGCAAGGAAAAGATCAAGAGAGAGCGAATGCACAACATCCCCGTCCCCAAAAGGGACTGAAAGATGTGCTGAGCGAGGAAAAATCAGAAGGAGCGGTGGTGGTGCACAGAGGGTCGACTTAAATCACAAAATACGAAGAGAAGGAATACGACATTGGCCTAGCGACGGACAGAGACACGGGAGGAGAAGAGGTCGGTCAGTAAAGGCGGAATTGAGTCAGTAATAGAGTGGCGAAGGTCAGGATGGACGGCTAGCCGCGCTAATCGAGCCCGTCGCGTTAAAAACGCGAACTCAGCGCGCTTCACAGCATCGGGATGCGTGTCGTGCGCAGGCGGTTGCAACGGATCAAAGTCAGGGAGCCAAGAAAAAGCAGGGTGCGTCTGGAGGAAATCGCAGAATGCATCATACTTATCGTCAACTACCCATGCCTCAAACAGCCGCAACCCAGGTCCAATTGGCGAGATATCTGTTGCGTAGGGCGCGCCGAGATGGTGGAGAGCAAACCGAAGCCAGTGGAGAGGAGCCGAATGAGCGGATCGGTGCAAAGATGTGCGGAAAAAGACAGGTCGGAACTGGAGGGGAGGGCCATCCCGAGGAGGTCGTCGAGCAGGGCCGTGGAAGATGAGCGTACCTAGGAGGGAGTTGAACCCTCAGGCCCCCCAACTGGGGCTCAACTTTATTCACTAGGCACCGTGAAACCTTGAGCATGCTTAGCACACCGGTAGCCGCTCTCATCAGTCGCGCCGGTCAGTATAGTCTCCTTAGCTGTCCTTATGGGGAGCTGTCATTGGAGGACATCACTCAACTTAACCGCGACGGCCCAGTACCTGGGTAGCGTGCCAGGTACCTTCCCGTTATTTGAGCTACCTCGCACGGCTTTCACCGTACTAACCACCAGGGGCTACCAGAGGAGGGTCGGGGTGTCCTTATCGGATGGTTTTTAGACGCTCTTCCCCTCTGACCTTTGCCGGGATCGAACCGGCGCCCCTCACCAGCAAACCCAGAGGTGTTAACCAACTGAGCTACTGGGCTCCTCTAACCTAACCCTAACCCTGGCAATTGCGAGGCAGCTGCAGTGTGTGTTGGTGCAGGGTTGGCAAGCAATGAAGGCATTGGGGTCTCAGTGGCCACCACAGATGTTATGAATCACCCTCTGGAAACCTCTGGAATCTTCTAGAACATTCCTTCATGGAACCTTCTGGAACCTCTGGAACGAACCTTCTGGAACCTTCTTTGCTTTCCTGACTTGTCTTGTTGGCATTGGTATCATTGGTATCATTGTATTACTAATTGCTCTTTCTGGAACTTTCTTCGAGTCTTGACAAGGAAGACTCTCAAAAGGTATAAAAATGGGATGGGGGACCTGTCCCATCCCTCAAGTGAATTATTGTTTCCAATACAATCATCACTCCTCTCAGTTCCTTGTCTGCCTTGCCCTGTCCTGCCATGTTCCTGACAACAGAGCCCCAGCACATGACCACAGCAATAAAAGTGTTGGTGTACAGTGACGGCCTGGAGCTGTTCACTGAGGTAAAGCAATTTGGTCAGGGCGTTACTGGGCCGCCTAGGGATGCAGGCTTACTGCTTTGGACACCAGGGGACACCCTGGGACCCAATGCATTTGGTAGTGTAACAGCGGTACCAGCTACGTCTGTGACTGTGGCAGTCATGTGACTTGTGCGAGACAAGTAGTCTGGGAAACAAAAAATAAAAATAAAAACAAACCACCACTCTTGTCAACCCTAGCAAACAACAAAGCTGCGGGTCAAGTGCCAACAAAAGGAGAATTGCTGCACAGAGTGCAAAGAACGCAAAACACCAAACTTCCTTCCATCCCAGACCAGATTGCAGATAGCTTTTGGCCCCGACGTTTGATTGATTCCGTGCAAGAAAATCTGGTCAACTTTGTTTCAAATTGGACCCCAAGTTACTGTGGCCTCGCCTCAGGTGAGGCAAACCACTAACAGTGCACCAGTCTCTGGCGAAAGACAAACTTCCATCTTCATATACAAGCCCATTTTGCCAGTTGTTATCCAGCTGCATAGTGTAGGGGTTATCACATCAGATTCTGATTCTGGGGACCCCAGTTCGATTCTGGGTGCGGCCTTGGGTGAGTGTTTGAACCCTACACCCCCAGCACTTCTCGCTGTCGGCAGATAGTTTTCTGACATGTCCTAGGATGTCTCTAAACAGATTCCGGAAATAACGCAGATCCACATATTAAATATCCGTGGATAACAGTGCTACTATGTGTTGAAATTCAAACGAATATAATAAGGCAGTCCATTGGCAATTCAAAGAATATCAGGTCGCAGTTATCCTCATCTTCCTTGTCTAGACTTCAAATAATATCATACCTCATTTCAGCCCAACAACGGTTAGCACTTCCTCGAGCAGTGGAAACGATATCGAGCTCTCTGTGCCAGTTTATCAAGCACTGTCATTTTCAATACTGCATGACATCACAGGATTCATCTGCTTTTTTTATTCATATTTGGCTCACAGTCCACAACCCCTCAGACAGAATTCTCATCCCCCCCAACCACTGCTGTGTTTTCATCCGCTGTAAGAGCCTCTAGCGACATCGCGATAATACCATCAAACTTGGCAACAGTGGCGGAGCGCTCTTCTTTCAGGAGTGAGTAAAAGTGGGAGACGCCACAGCTGATGAATGTCCAATATGCGGGAAACTTGCATTGGGTTTTCCGATCCACCCCTACATCAGGCAGCAGCAAATCCTCCTCCGCACCTGGAGCATCGCGGCCGTGGTTATGCCGTGGGTGCAATACTTTGTGATTTGCAAACTCTGAATTGTACAGAAAGTGATAATATCTCTGTAAATTCGTTAATTGTGACGAAAGTACAAAAGAGCGGAGCACTTACTAAAATACTGGCGATTTGAAGACGTAAAACAGTTGCAGTACCGATGGAGAGGGCCCCCCGTCCCTTTTCAAATGTAAAAATTGATCGCGCAAGGTCATGGGCAGCTAGCTTTGGCACGTTGGGAAGCCCTAGCTTGTTAACTTTAGCCCCATTGAGGTAAAACCAGCGAAGCTGACTCTATGGCTTACATTCTTCTTCATCTCGCACTTGAAGTGGGAAAGGATAGACGACGCCGCTTTTTTGATCTCTCGGGTGTTGATGTTTGGTTTTCGAGACTGAAGTCGTGCCCAACGGTTTAGTAAAAGCAAGATAGTGTGAAAGAATTAGTAAACAGTTGGGCATGACGTACGCTGGCAAAATCCGCAAAAAAGAAAGCGCAGTCTTGCAGCGTGTCGCCAGCAGCATTGATGTTAAGGATCTGCGTTCGCGCAAAGTCAATTTGGCCAGAATTCGGCTTGGAAGCAAGCATATGAAAGCAATCAAATTGTCGAAGTCGATCGACGCAAATGTTCTTGATATCGTCCTGTGGTAAGAAGAAGCAATAGAAAATGAGTTATTGGATCTCGAGGTGGGCGACAATGACAGTCTTTGGCCGTCGCCGCTGCACGGCGGCAGGCATCTAAACCCACCCACTGCAAACTCGACACGGACAGTCCGACCAACACAGTCATCTGGGGACGGCATCACTAGCCCTGACAATCGCTGTGTCGTGTGCATCACCTGCGTCGCTCGCCTTGTCACCGCAAATTCGTTGCTGCACACATGGCCACGGCCTCGTCTGCCTCGCCCCTTGACCAACGAACAAAGCGACTTTTGGCGCCACAGCCGCTGTTTAATAACTGACAGCAAAAGGGCGGCAGCAGCAGCACCATCGACCCGCTGCCCGTTTTTTCTCACTGTTGTTGCGCTTGGCCCTGACTTAAGAGCAGTCCCCGCTGCCTGACGCAAGCAAACAAACCTTATCGCCAACTTCAACTTCCTGGGCCTTGTTTCGCTGAAGTATTGCTGGCAGCAGAGAAATCTCTTCTGTGCTCCAGTTCTGAAAGCAGTTCGTTAAAAGCGTAGGGAACATTGATCACCACTAACCGCAAATTCAAGAAGATCATCAACGCTTCCTCTTTTCAGGTTACCTTGCTCTTCTTCCTGCAATATGAAGTGATAGAGATTGGGGAACCTCCTTTCGTTGGGCTCAGATGCGAGAGGATCCATTTGCCCTCCCTTTCATTCTTACCTCTGGGCAGGGTTCAAGTTGGGGGTTTGAGGAGTGCTGGCATCCACACGCACAGCTGTTCCACGATCAGATGAAGCAGTAACAGCTGGAACAACGAAGCGACGTTTTGGTCCAGTCTGAAGTTGACGAAGACTCAGGATCTGCCGAGCCGCAGACCCTGGAGCTGCGATCAGCGATGAAGACAGTGCGCTACTGTTGGCTGACGTTGCCATTTCTTGGAATGGTCGGTCATTTAATTCATTTGAAGCATCCGCTGCAGCCCCTCCACAGAAGGAGTCGAAGTCGCTCATCTGCAAACAATCATGATCAGATTGAGAACAAGGCCGTGTCCCAGTGACGCTTCAAGCTGCCCAACCCAACTCCGCCAACGGATGGGTTCCCAGCACTCGAGGGCGTCACCGCCGAGATCCAAGGTCGAGAGGGAACAGAAGGTGAACGGAAGGGGATCGACAGGGAGAAGGGGTGGGCCATCTAAGGCGTGTGGAGAGAGCGGACGACACGGACAGAGAACAGCTCGCGAATGGCCTGCGTAAGGTGCTCTCCATTGGTTGCGGGCGTTGTTGCATGACCCAGAAGCCCTTGGCAGGCAAAGGTCACATACTATTCCCACTGAAAACTCAGCAGCTGATGCCTCCGCCTAGACCAATCCTTCGACCACCAAAAATACCGAGAGTGCCCTAAACTCACCTTGTTGCTCTTGAGAGTGCTTTGGGTTCCTTAGGTTCGTTTTGAGCAAGCGCCCAAGTTTTTTTTCTCTCGAACTTTGGGTGTGGCGCACAAGGAAAGGTTCACATGGATGGTTCAGGATATCAAAACCACAAAACGAGCACGCGTTGTTTTGCACACACGCTCGTTTCTCCAACTATCAGCATTCCAGCGATTCCAGCACCCTAACGGTACAGTTATCCACTGAATACCTCCTGGTTGTGCTTGAGGGCTGCTAAATTCATCCTTTCGAGTTCAGCTTAAACAGGCCATTTTGAAAGCATAAAACGAAAGTCGAGAATTCGTTATGGTTTGCACGTGCAATGGTTTTAATTGACTCTAAGGAGTATTTAGCACTCAGGACAAAGGAGAGGCGTAGCATCTTATCACTGCTCTGTTTGTGGTGTCACCATCGACTACGGAAAGCAGAGCGCAATCAATCGGCATAATATGTCAACACGACACCGCCAAAACGTCAGCTTGGGAGCTGGAAATCGCGCACTAAACAAACGTGAGGGTATAACAGATGAAAATATTGTAGAATGGACGCAAGCTGAACCGGCGTTTGAGAACCTTCCAGAGTTTGAAAATGGTTTTCTGCCCTCTGTCCTGCATGGTTTATGACTGGGTAACCAACTTCTATACAGATCTCTCTTCTCCATCCAATGGCATCGACGCTCAACCAAATCAGTTCAGCTTTGGTAAACTGAACATGATTCAACATGAGTCATCTGTTGACGCGTTTTCTTCCAAACAGCTGGATTTGCGTCCAATGAAGCTTTTCCAGCAGAAATGAGCGACATGGATTCGCCTAGAGGTTTGCTTGAAGCTGTATATTAATTGATCTAAATTAATTCCTTTTGGAGCTGCAAGTGAACCAGAAAAGAGTGATGAAGATGCAGTTTACAACAATTATTCTTTATTAACAGGAGATGACGAGGTTGAAAGCGAGAGGAGTCATACTTTCGGGGATGAAGCAATCGATTCAGATGAGGAGTATACTGAAGATGTAGAATCGAACCTGGGACACCTTACAACAGAACAGGAAAAACTGGTGATTGACGAATTTTTTGAATCCGAGCAAGAGAACTTGTTCACAGAGCGCACTGGCAAGTAAATTTGGTTTTGTTCGTTCTCAGAACTTTCTTTCTCAGGAAAATCGAAACAAGCGTACTCTGCTCTTCTCAACATTCCTGAATCACACTTTAAAGTTGCCGCCTTTTTCTCAACACGGCATTTTTCGGAAAAGGAAATAAGCGGATTCCTTGAACTACTTCGAAATCTTGGTGTTGCAGCTCCGACATTTAATTTTATTTTGCAGTTTGGCCGGAAATGTGCTGATCTCTGCTTCATGAAAACTGATGATCATAAAACGCTTCAAGGAAAAACGATCTCTTACAATTCTCTCGTAAATACAATTCGGTTGGAGCTGGCAAAAAGTCACATATGCGAGAACTTGGCCTTACTCCCGTGCCTTGATGGACCAATTACGGAACTTTTTCACGGTGAAAAGTGGAGAAACACTGTCCCTACTCCAATGGTGCGCACAAAAACAGGAGAAGATCTGTACAGCGACGCTTTCTATATTGTTGACTTCCTGGATGAGACAAGCAAGATTCTGCGAGCAAAGCGTTTCGCAACAAGGGCCTCCAGCACAGTCTGCATAGCGCAATTATGCAAAATGCAAGATGCAGAACTCCTTGTGCAAACGAAAAATGTCCTTGAAATCTCAGTGGACCAAGCAAAATGGACTTTTGTCAAAACATTTCCCAACAACGTCAGCGTGTTTGAAACCACTTTGTTTGAAGGAACTGATCGCCACAAGCTTGACATTGATGCTATTCAGCTTTCAATTAATAATCGTATACAGAGAGCAAATGGTCGGCAGACAATCATGATTCCAATAGTTATGGGAGGAGATGACACAAGCGCCAACTTATCGAAAAAATGGAACAAGGTCGAGTCTTGGAGTGCTCAACTTGCAGGTCTTCCTGCGAAAATCGCCAATCTCTCAGAGAACATTCACTTTGTCACCACCTCTGGCCGTGCAACAGGATATGAGTCATCTGAGATCCTGGCATGGTGCTTTCGTTCATTACAAAAAGGTTGTGATGCCTACCACGCCGGATTTGGAGAAAAAGTATTGTTCTACGGGATGCTATTGGAAGTAACAGGAGATAATCCTGCACATTCCATGTTTTGCTCACATACAGGATTGCAGTCGACAAAGCCATGTCGACTGTGCAATGTTGCTTGGAACAAAATCAAAACTTCAGAGATGATTGCAA